GCTCCCCCCCCCCCCCCCGCCGCTTCTATGCAGAGGGAGAGAAGGCCCCGCAGGGAGCGGGGGCTGACGGCTCTGCTTCCTGTGACCCAGCGACACTGGTCGTGCTGTTTAAAAGCCGCTCACCTCGAGTTCTCAGCATGAAACGGACACTGGGAACAAAAGACCGCGTGTCTGCTGCCCCAGTCCGGCTGCTACCTCTTGTGCTGGGGGATTTTTGAGCCTGTCAAGGTTCAAAGCGCTCAGGCTGTCAGTGAAGGCAGTCCTGGGAAGAGTGGCTCTGAAGTAACAAAGTGGCGAGGCATCAAAAACGCCCTTGCAGCCTGGCCTGGCCTGGCTTGGTCTGAGGCCTGCAGGGCCGGGGCCTGCTCTGCCACCTGGGCTGTGGAGAGGCCCCTGAATGCTTCCAAACCTGCCTGGTGCTAAACCTTTTCTGTATGTCACTTCCATAGTCACCTTTTGCTTGTGCAGCTTTTGAAGGGATTGAACACTTCATACTGCTCTGTTCCTGTCTTTGCAATCGATTTTTGTTCTTGTTCATGCCCAAAAGATGATCTTTTAACTACTACCTCTTGAAACAAAACACCAAGTGTTCACTTTGCCTGGGAAAGCCTGCTATTCAAACACTGATTAGACACCAGAGGCCAAGATGGTTTTAATGATCTAGAGATGTCCATTATAAAAAGAGACCATGGCAAATAAGGATTATTTGGAAGAGAGTAATAATTAACTCTGGTGACTTGGGGGCAGGAAGGAGCGGGAAAAATAAATGTGTGGTGTTTCTCCATGCTTTTTAAGTCAGACCCCTTAATCAGACATGATTAATATGGTGCACATAATAGGAATCTTTGTGTATGGGACATAGTCCAGCTTGTTTAGATGAATAGGAAATAAATTCTCTCCTTTTTTGCCCAAGTTGAATCTAACCCAACATTTCTAGGTCACAGATGGACTCAAGACTATTTCTAGTGGCCTAAGGAAAACCAACAAAGAATAATCTTGTGCTACAAATTACAAACATAACTTCATTCCATAGTACAGTGTTATCCTTAAATTCTCATGTGAATAATCCTCTAGAGAAGGATCCTATTGCTAAAATGACTTAATGGCTTGTAAAGATTGTCATACTTTTATCTGCAATCTCCTTCATTCTCTAGTTCCTGCATAAAATATGTGGTGGTACTATACAAATCTACTAAATAAATACAAAAATATTTTTTTTCTCTACCATCTTCTTGACTGTACATGGCCTAATAGTTTACTGGTATGAATCCCTGTCAGTACAAAAGATGTCTCAGTTATTAGTGAGAAAAGTGAGCTTCTGCTTTCTGCAGTGCAGAGTATGCCACTGTGACTGAGCTCCCTATACAGTGCTGTAGCTTTACTGGATGTAACCCCTCATAGGGGTTTTTCTCTGGGTTTTTCTTTCCGTTTTTTGTTGTTGCTGTTGATTCTTACAATTTTCCAAGAAAATATTTCAAATAATAGATAATACTTTATACACACTGAGTTTGGGGCAGCGTTGTTTTAAGTGTAGCATCAAAATAAATTTGGGTAGTTTCAAGAGAATAAAACTCATTTGTTTGCTATGTCCTTAGACACTTTATTTAAGAAAAGAATTCTTGTGGTGATTATGCCCAGCTTACTATTAGGAGAGTGCAAATCTCTTTAGAGTGATTCTTAACTGTAGAGTTTGACCTTTGAATTGTCTTTTTGCGTGTTTTTGCCCTCTATACTCTAAGGATAAAAATTTCTCCTGGGAGGAGAAAATTCCTCCTTAAGTACAGAGGGTGCAATGGCTAAGGTGTTAGCATGGTATTGAACTAGCATCCAAATCCCATTCACTGATTAAGGTCTGTATAATCTCTTTATGTGGCACCATTGCAATGAATATAAATGCATTGAAGATGGTAAAACCACATTAATAAGAACCGGGTAAGTAACAGAAACAAAAATAAGAAAAGTAGAGTCATATTTCTGACTTCACCTATATTTAAATGCAGAGTGTAATCAGGGTTTTTCCTTTTTCAGAATACTTTACAATCACATTACAAAACCTAAGCACATTTGAGAAGCTGTGCCTTCTGCTTTTGTTTTAGCTTGCGTTGCTTTTAATGTATGTAAAATGTCCCTGACTGATCTTGATAAGAGGCAACAGATGTGTTAATATAAAATTCTAGTTGGGTTGTTTCCTTGTATATATTGTTTTGCCTTTATCACTGTCCATAACCCATATTAAAAGCCTTTAATTAGATGCCACTGGAATGACACTTTGGGCATGAAAACACGAAGTCTATCGGTGTTGATAGCTATACTTTACAATTCTGAAGAAGCAGATGCAAGAGTTGGTATTTCACAGGGAGAAAAAGAGATTGCCATAGCACCACCTCCTCAGTGAAGTCCCACGGCTCATTTTATTCACACCTCCCTCCCCCTCTCTCACCTGCTCCGTTTACTGTCTTAGGTTTTGTTTGCACTTTTGAGAGGGATTTTAATTTCCCTAAGGGTGAAATACTCCCACTTAGTGCAACAATTCTAGCAGAGCTAGCAGCGTGGCAGAGCTCCCCTATCTATCACGAATATCAGGAATTAGGTATACCTTGAAAGAGAGATTTGTAAATATGATCCTTTAACCTTGATGCATTACTTTAAGAAGTCAGGATTGTGGCAAGCACACATCTGTGGTTAGTGCAAGCACTTTGCTTTTCTTGATGACCCTGTTGACTGCCATGCCTTTACTGTGGAACACTGTATTTCAGGCATAGTCTAGGAAAGTTTTGAGTTGATTGCCTTGGATAACCAGCTCAATTATACAATGGAACATGCTGATGAGGAAGGCAAGACCTGGCATTACTGATGTCTGTGTTGCAGACGCAACTTGAGCTATATTGCTGGAATTTATAACTACAAGGTCCTAATGAAGTTCTCAGGAGGGTAATTCGTGTAATGTGTCTTTTTGCTTCACAGCACAGCAATGGCTTGATTCACTGCCTCGTATTTTATGTCTCTGCAATTCTAGCAGAGTAGCAAATGGGTTCTGTGACTTCGTCTTGTGCCTGCATCAATGGCTTTTGTCTGTTTCTTTGCTTTTGTTGAGGACAATTAATATTACTCCATGCTCATTTGGGCAACCTACTGCTTGTCTCCTACTCTCACACACCATCCTGGTGAGCTTATCACTTGCTTTATTTCTCACTGCACCACTGGTCTATGTCTTTCTGGTGCCCTCCTCATTGGCAGCTGGGATTCTGGGGTGTTTGGGGGATGACAGGAGGTGAAATGGTAGGGCAGCCAAAGGGACTGCTTGTCAACCAGGCTCTGCGGCTCACCCGCCACAACCATCAGCATATAATGTGAAACAGAGCTGTCAGCCAGGCTGGGAAAGGAATACTTGTTGAAGTAAATCAGTCAGCTATTGCACTGTGACAGGTGATAGAAAAAGAACATGAGACAGATATCCTGCTCTGAAAGGTTACTCAGACAAAAATCCCTTGCTCCTATTACCCCACAACACAACCTGAGAAAAGAGAGACACAGCAGAGTGTCTCCCTCACAGTTCAGTCCTTTCAGGAAGGGTCTGTGAGCTCTGTGTTTGGGAAACACTGAGCTATCTTCCCCCTCCACCCCTGCACAAAGCCCTAACTATCCTTTGGATAATGTTGTGCAGCATCTGCATCAATTCTTGCTGTGATACTTGGCCAGAGGATTGGGATTAATTTAATTTATAGTGCCACTAGACTTTACAAGCAAAGGAGTTGTGATAATTAGCCTTGGTCCTGCCACCTCTATTATGCTACCCAGACTGATTCAGCGGGTATGCAGTGGATGGAATTTCTTCAATATAGAATGGTTTTATACATGCTCAGAGTGATGGAATTTGCTTGCTTGGACAAATCTGTTATAAAAGATGAAATGCTGCTGTTTCCTGAAAAGAACATTAACAAAAATTCACCACTGACATGGGCAGCCTCCTGTGTCTGTCTCCACAGAAAGGCCCCCCTCTTCCACTTCACTAGGAGATAATGAGAAAAAAAAAATCATTCTCACCCAAAGAAGGGAATATTTTGCATTTCAGCAAACCAAAACAAAGTCTACTCTGTTTTTCTTTGACCAGTGATGGAAGTCTTTTCAAGCAAGCAGTTTATTTCATTCTGTGGCTAGTGATCTCATCAGTGGTCAGGTTTAAATGCAAGGGTCAAATTGTGAGAATAAAAATTGTTAATAGGAGTATCTTTCTAAATTTGATTATCCTTTGCCATTCTACCTAAGATGCCTTTTAACCATAGAGCTAGTTCACTTGCCTTGCTCTAGAATTCTACATTGCCTTTAATATTTATGAACTAATCTTACAGGCAACCCACCTCCTTTCATGGTAAAGGACGAAAGCTGTTCACATTCTCAAGAAGGGCGTTTTATGCAGTGTTTCTTCAGGAGTCACTCATTTAACTTTGTAAGTCAACCAAGACCCTGTTTAGTGACCCTCCTTCAGATAAAGCAAATAAATGCAGCTCCCTCTGTCCTCTCTGTTTTGCTTCAAATGCCAGCCAGAAAGAAACATACTGATGTCCTCCCACCCAATAGGTTTTGATTCAGTCTTTGTTAGCTTGAGAAATCATGGAAGGCAGTTGGAGTTTAGATATTCTGGCCCTGGCTATCACTGAGCCACCAGCCTGATCCAGTGAAAGTCTGTTCAGTTTTTTAAAACAAAAAAAAAAGAGGAAACTAAATACCACTAC